GCACCAATGATGTCACCTAGTTAGATCATAAAATGTCTGCAAGAAAACAGCCAAGTTTAGAGAGCACCAAGAACCCTATAATCCTCCTCTTCCTCCACTTCTCCTCCACTCTGCAAACATAACTCCTTCTAGCACTGATGATGTTACCTAGTTTGGGTCATGAAATGTCTTCAAGAATACAACCCAGCTCAGAGAGCACCAAGGACCTCACAGTCCTCCTCTCTCTCTCTCTCTCCCTCCCTCCCTCTCCCTCTATCTTTCTATCTCTCTATCTTCAAACCCAATCCCTTCTAGCACTGATGATACTCCCTACTTGAGCCATGAAATGTCTGCAAGAAAATAACCAAGCTCAGAAACACCAAGGATCCCAGTCCTCCTCACCCACTCCACAAATCTCACTTCCTTCTATCACTGATGATGTTACTTAGTTTGGGTAATGAAACGTCTGCAGGAATACAATCAAGCTCAGAGAGCACCAAGGACCCCTCATTTCAACCCTGAGCTACAAAAATCCCCCATTATTGGAACCTGACTTCCAAGACCTTCCTTAAGATGCTCGTGTCACAGAAGGAAACTTAGCTCATTCCTGGTGACCTCCCTTTTCTCCAAGTTACATAGTTTCCCCCCAGATCAGTTTCTGAGACATCACTTGGATGTCTCTGGGGTGCAATTAGGGTTTGTTAACATCTCAATAAGGTTTTTTAAATTAAATTGTTCCAGGCAGTCTGAAAACAGGGGAGAGCTACTGTTCTGGAGCTCAAAACTCCTCAGCTAGCAATGAACAAAATAGCTTTGAGCCTTGAAATGAGAAGCAGGCCGGGTGCAGGGTTAACCATGATAAATGAGATGCTATTCATTAACGGGGCTACTTGTTCTTTTTAAGAAAAAGGGCCAGTTAGCTGTGTTTTTAAATCCATGAAAACAAATCCAACATTCCTCTAATGCGGGGTGTCAAACTCAAGGCCCGGGGAAGCCAGATCTGATCTGCGGAGTGTTTCGATATGGCCTGCAGGCATGCCCTGGAGACAGAGAAGAACTGGCCCGCGGGTGCCTCTGCCGGGGAAAACGGAGCTCGGGAGGGTCGCGTACAGGGTGGGCTCCGTTTTCGGCCGCGATGGCCTCCTGCAACCCTCTGCCAGCAAAAATGGATCTTGGGAGTAGAGGACGAACACAGCGACACTAAACTCCATTTTTGCTGGCAGAGGGTTGCAGGTGGCCGTCACAGCCGAAAACAGAACCTGGGTGGGCCATGTGTGAAGTTGTGGTCCACCGGCAGCCTACAGAGCTGGCAGCAGAGTTGAACAGTGAGGAGGTTGGGGAGGAAAATGGGCCAGGCTTGGATTCTGGGGAAGGCTCGAATGAGAGCTCTGCATCAGAGGCAGAGAGGGGCCAAGGGCCACCTGGGAGTTATGTGCTGCCTCCGGAACCTCCAGAGTCGGACATCAGTGAGGAAGAGGAACAGGGTGAGCCTGTTCCTAGTGTGTGCATTTGCAGAGCTGCCACAAGGCAAGAACCATTAAGGCAAACGGGGTGACCCGGGGGCATGGCTTGGAGATGATTGGCCCCTCCCATAAGACATAAAGGAGGAGCAAAGGCACGTGAGCCTTTGAAGGAAGCAACTTTGTTTGTTCTGGTCAGTGTAAATTCCGAAGTTCCATTTTGATTCTGTGCTTCATGTGGCCTTTCAAAGCTAATTGGGTCTAATTAGGTCTTTGGCAGCATTTCAAGGGAGATAAAGGTGGGTGCTTATCAGCCTTATCCCGAAAGACTTTGGCAGACTTCTGACGGACTCTTTACAAACTATTTGTGACTCATTACGGGCAGTGAATGAACATAATTCACAGCTGTTGAAATAAAAAGAGGGCTTTAGGGACTAAGCATGTGCTTTTCATTGTCTCAGGAAGCCTAGGTCAGAACATGCGGCCTCCTCAAACTCAATTTCCACTGGCAGGAGGGCTGCAGGAGGCTGTCGCAGCCCAAAACGGAGCCTCGGTGAGTGACATGCAGCTGGCCATGCCCCCCTGGCCATAAACCCCCCCCCAGTCCCCCAAGGGACACAACCCTGATGCGGCACTCAAAGAAATCGAGTTTGACACCCCTGTTCCAATGGATGAAGTCCAGAAACCAAAACAGATATCACACAGAAGTGTGATTTACACAAGATGGAGAACACCCCAGCATGGGCAAAATGTAACATTAACACCCAGGCCAATTAATTTAAAAGATTGTAGATACCATATATATTAGGACACACTTTCAGATGAAAAGATACCATAAAGGTAAAAGGAAAAAAGAAAAGAAGAAACGTGACCAAGAAAAACAGAAAATAGAAGAACAGAAAACACGAAGAGCAATGTAAAAATATGGCTTCCCATTTTCCTCTTGGCCGCTTTACGTATAATTATAACCAAACCTCTCTCTCTCACACTCTAAGATTGATTATACAGTAATTTCTTTTTTTCTATAACCCCTTCTTTCTAAACCATCAAAATCGTAAGGCACAAAATCACCTTCCTTTTTTTACATTAAAAAGAAATCCCCCTAAGGAATTTACAGTCATTGATGAATTCCACAGGGACCTTAATCAAACAAGTCAGTTTTCACAGGGGGGGAAAAAAGTTTATATCGATGTGAACTGTCATTCTGAGAGGTTCATGAACATAAAAGTGCTCTCAGCGAAAAGCTAAGTATGGGCCTCGATGTACCCGTTGCAAGGGGTACTGAGCGGTTTTGTAGTACGGGAGTCCCAAAGGTGCTTTTTCAAGAGCAAGTAGACTTTCAGGTTTTTCTTTGAAGGCATTTCACTTCTATATCCAAGAAGCTTCTTCACCTCTGAAGAAGCTTCTTGGATGGAGACGCGAACGGAAGAAGCTTCTTGGATGAGAAGCCAAACATCTTCAAAGAAAATGAACAGCAGTGATTTATAAGCCTTCTTCTCACTTCTAAGACGCCCCCTGATGTTGTCCCGTACATTTTCCTAACAGACTGGAAAGCAGGGTTCCCCCATTTACTGCCCTTAAAAGGAAGGCATTAAGAGTCGCAGCCACATGAAGAATTCAGGGGTTGAAAAGGAGGAGAATTAAGTGAGTCTCGTGTGTGTGTGTGTGTGTGTGTGTGTGTGTGTGTGTGTATGTGTGTGTGCATGTGCGCCCTCCGCA